GGGAGAGAGAGAGACAGAGAGAGAGAGAAAGATCTTTTTTCCATTTTTTTGCAGTTTCTTTCAAATGTTATTGTTTGGATTACGAGAATGAAGATGTTTTGAGATAGTAAGAAGAAGAAGAAGAAGAAGAAGAAGAAAGAAAGAGAAAAAGAAAGAAGGAAAAAAAGAAAGAAGAAGAAGAATAACAACAACAAGCAAAAGAAGAACAGGAACAAGAACGAGAACAAGAACAAGAACGAGAACAAGAACGAGAGCGAGAACAAGAACAAGAACAAGGGGGAAGGGGGGATTTTTTACGTCGAAGTATTCTCGAGACGTCCAGGGATTAATGGGTATGATCAGAAAATGTAATATCGACTAGGGAATGTCCTGCTTGGAAATAAAGGTATTGAGTAGCGGATATGGGGTTCGAGTGCTTCGCCCCCCAAGGCGCGTGCAAATCCAGATCCTGAAATGAAATTTTAGACAATGGGCGTTGGGTGCGATATATGATCTTGGATTTGAAAGAAAAAGTGCAGCGCGTGTTCGCATTCAAGGCGAGTGTTATTTAGTGCCATATGGCGAATGTACGGTGCCCATCTCAATGCTTGTGACCGGCCTCTTCGAACGTGGGACCCTCGGTGGCGTTTCCATGGCAACGTATACTTCTATTGACTCTTTACTCTAATGACAATGTGGGTCGAAGAAGGTACGCTTGGCATGATTTCTCAACCGCTGCTCCTTTGCAGACTTACAATTTCGATAATAATAATAATAATAATAATAATAATAATAATAATAATAATAAGTATATTAATGGTGATAATAATGATGATGATAATAACAATTTCTAAATGAAAAGAACAAAGGTACGAAATTTTATTTGATTTTGATTATCATGTTGACAATTATTTGTGGATAGAGCCACGGAAAGATGGCATGAAAAGAAAACACATGATCCGTGTGATGTTCTGAAATATGTTTTGTAGAGACAATCAACAGTTTGTGGGTGGTTGGCGGGTGCTCTGGTGTGGGTTTTTTTCTCCTATCAAACATCTATCATCTTTATCTCCCCTCTTTCTTTTTGTGTTTGTTACTCTCTTGTAACACCTCTAATCTTCGGCACTTAAATGACCTTATCCTTACTGTGTTGCAAGTGCCGAAAAATTCTTACTAAAACAAACGAACAATCAACAGTTCCCATCCATCCATGTAGCTAGGTGGGTGGTTGGAGGGCGCCACTGGTAGGTCCTACTTCTTAACTTTCCCCTGTGTTGTCTGTCTGTCTTATTTTTACCCAGCACTAAATGACCATTGCTGTGTCGATGTGCTTCTCTTTACTCGAACAAACAAACAAACTTGAAGCTAGTGAGGTAATCTTTGCATCACGATCACTGAAATTCAGCTCTCTATATACTGAAATAATTGCCATATTGTATCGGCGTATCTGTGTAAATGTGGTAGTGAGGGTGTGACGTTTCGTTTTGTACAATATATCTGTTTTCGTTGTGCTACCTCTTAATAT